ATTCTACTTAAAACATATTTATATTTTTAAAATAAATATATTGCAAGCTTGGAGAGACGTGGGGTACTTGTCTACACACGTTCATTATCAATTCTCTACAAAGGCTGCTGCAGCCACCACCAGAGTTCTTATGCTTCCTCTTGTGGAAGCCGTCCATACTTCTTTTTTTAACATGTAATTTATGTATGACCCATTCCAGTGTTTCTTGCCCTTTATTAGCATTTGAAGATATCATTCTTGCCATGAGTCCTTCAGGGTAACTGCTGAGACTGACTGCTTTCACAGTGATAATAGCTTCTTGAGTCAAAATAGTTTTTTTTTTTTTTTTTTTTTTTTCTGGGTACTGACAATGTGGTTTGCATATAACTCTCTCATCTACTGAAACCGTATTTGTAAGTGAAATACTAGTAGATTTAAGTTCCATTGTTTTCTCTTCTCTACAGGATTAACTACAGAATATTCTAGCACATACGTTCTGTTTTTTGCTGCACCAATAAAAGTCTTGCAGTTCTCACTCTTTGCGGAGAAGCCTGTGGCTGTGCAGCTCTCCAGAGGGATTTTATAAGTCTCTCCAACACATCAACCCGCACCATGCTCAGGTTCATAGGGTTTGGGTATTTGTGCATTGCAACTGTTGTAACAGTTTCCCACAAGTGGTCAAAGACGTGCTCTGAAGTCCAGATCTTGATGGTGCAGGCAGTCTGAGAGATGTGTGGGCAGCACAGGGAACAATTAGATTAAAAGGCTACACCTGCCCCACTCCACCCATTACAGCCCAAAATACTTTGCAGTGCACAGGCGCCATCGATTCCACGCTAAGGACTTCCCAACCCCAGCCTCCACCCCTTATTACAATGTAACGTTTAAAGCAGGGGTCCCCAACTTCCCAGGCAGCGGATCAGTTCGGGTCTAGCGGCCCTTTAGGGACCCTACAGCACAGCAGGAAGTGAGTGGCAGGCAAGCGAGCATCCGCCTCCTGTCAGATCAACCGAGACATTAGATTCTCATAGGAGCGCCAACCCTATTGTGAACTTGCGCCGTCCTGCTGAGAATCTGATGCTTCATGACCTGAGGTAGAACAGCTTCATCCTAAAACCATCCTTGTCTCCCCACCCGCCACCGATGGAAAAATTATTTTCCACACAACCAGTCCCTGGTGCCAAAAATGCTGGGGACCCCTGATTTAAAGAACACTGTTAATGCCTGTTCCCTGACTTCATATGGAGGGTCACGGTCAGTTCTGAAGCGACTCCAGCAAGTGATCCACCCAGCCGTCCCCTCCCACTTTGTTAGTATTCACAGCTCCTCAAAGGCCCCCTGGAATTTAGACTAAAGCATGATCATACCATTGCATGCCAGCCTGGGCGACCCAGGAAGACACCATCTCAAAAAAGAAAAAAAAAAAAAAGCCCTGAGCTGGATCCCTGCCCCCTTTCTGTCTGCTTTAGGCCCATTTATACCAATCTATACCAATCTTTTTTCTTTTTTTTTTTTTTTTTTGAGAGACAGAGTCTCTCTCTGTCGCCCAGGCTGGAGCGCAGTGGCACAATCTCGGCTCACTGGAAGCTCCACCTCCCGGTTCACGCCATTCTCCTGCCTCAGCCTCTCGAGTAGCTGGGACTAGAGGCGCCTGCCACCAAGCCCGGGTAATTTTTTGTATTTTTAGTATAGATGGGGTTTCACCGTGTTAGCCAGGATGGTCTCAATCTCCGAACCTCGTGATCCTCCTGCCTCAGCCTCCCAAAATGCTGGGATTACAGGCTTGAGCCACTGCGCCCAGCCCATTTAAACCAATCTTGATTTACTAGCTCAAAATCAATTCCACAGGTGGAGGATAAGGGAAAGTCTTTAATCAAAGTGAGTGTACAGTTTCAATGGAGGAACCATAGCAATTTTGAGTAGATCTAAAAAAACCAGTTCCTAAGCATATTACATATTATTCATTCCATGAAGAGAGTTTTTCTAAATGAAAAATGTTTAGTACGTTCTGATCTCCACAGCAGAGACCTCAAGGCTCTTATGCGTGCAGGGCACAGTTCCAGTGCAAATGTCCTCAGGGACGGCAAGAGGGTCCCCACTGGGGTGCCTCGGACACCTTCCCAGGCAGCAGTTAAGCGCGGCGTGCTGCAGCTCTGCAGAAAGGCTGGGGTTCCTCTCCTTTCAGGGTTCCTTCTGATGGAATCGTGGAGTTTCAGCAGCTTCCGTGGGCGGCCTGGACTGCAGAGGGCGCCCTGGGCGTGTGTCCTTCCACCTCCGCAGGCGCTGGCATCTCCAGGCTGGTTCAGGACGCTTTGGACCCCACCGTCGGTAGCATCTGCGTCTTCTTGAGGCGACTGGAGCCTGTTTGTGGTTTCAGCCATTGACTCCTGGACATGGGAGTCTCGAGGGCGTTTTTGGCCCCTCTCATCTCTGGGAAGGGCTCTGTGTCCTGTGCAGGTGCAGTGCAGAAGCCAGCGCGCAGCAGAGCTCCCGCAGAGCTGATGACATTGGCAGGAGTGGCGGTTCAGCACAGGGAAGTTATCCAGTGCCCAGGCTCAGGCTTGCTCTTGGTTCAGGTGTCATGGCATGTGGGCCTCTGGACCTGCCTGCCTCCAAGACAGCTCTTCCATGATTGATGGATGGAACTCCATAGCTTCAGCTTCCCAAGGCTTGACCGCCCCAGGCACATAGCTAGTCTAGGAAAAGAGCAAATGGCTCAGTTCATCCCTGACTGTAGTTTTTTTATAGCATTCTGTCTTGTACAAGAAGTCGGATACCAGAATCCAGTCATGTGGGGACTAACACTTATTTACCTTGCTAATTGCTTTGGGCGGTGATAGGATTATGGTGAAAATTTTATCATTCCAGAAGGCACTATTGAAACTCCTTGGGTTTTTATTGGATGAGGTGGTAAAAGCGTGGGGCAGGGGGTGAGAGAATGGGTCCAGTTATTGGCAGTTTTCCGATTTCAATAAGAAATTGTTAGTTTTCAGTATTTTAATATTTTGCAATTTGGTGAGATGTTAGATGTACATCTCTTACAGATATCATGTATCAAATTAAGGGAATTCACTGTTTCTAATTTGCTGAGATGATTTTTGCATTAATAAGATACAGGGTTGAATTAAAACTTTTTTTGGTATCTACTGAGATTATTATATATTTTTTTCTGCTGTTAACTTGGGGAATAACTTTGATTGATTTTCAAATGCCCAACCAATGATGAGTTCCTGACAAACACTATTAGATTATAACACACTTTTTAAAAAGCACTGGATTCAGAATACTAACATGTTGTTTACGATTTTGCTTCTGATTGGGAGAGATATTGGCTGATCAAAAAAACTGAGGAGGGGCACTAGAGTGATGCATGAAATGGGCTTATTAATACTTAAACTTGTCAATATTTAAAAGGTCTTTCCTGTGGCTGTCCTACTCAGTCAAAGACTTTTCAGATACAGGAAACATGTCTCATTTGGAGCATTTCAAAAGGCAAGATTGGCCTAAGTCATTCTATTTTTGAAAGCACCCTGAAGCAAATTTTAACCCAGAGTGAATTGTTGAGGATTCCTCCTGCAGGGGAAGAACACTGAGGCACATGAGGTAAGCAGAGAGGCATATTTAATGGCCTGGCTTCCCAAGGAAACATTACTGAGGTAGACACCCATGTGAGATTGTTTTATTCAAGAATGCATTTTAAGAGTGAAATGGGCTTTGCAGACGCTGCCGCTGCCGGAAGTCCTGTACTATCAGCCATGGTCAACCCCATCATGTTCTTCGACATTGACATTGCTGTCAACGGCAAGCCCTTGGACTGCATCTCCTTTGAGCTGTTTGCAGACAACGTTCCAAAGACAGCAGAAAACTTTCGTGTTCTGAGCAGTGGAGAGAAATGATTTGGTTGTAAGAGTTCCTGCTTTCACAAAATTATTCCAGGGTTTATGTGTCAGGGTGGTGACTTCACACGCCATAATGGCACTGGTGGCAAGTCCATCTATGGGGAGAAATTTGATGATGAGAACTTCATCCTAAAGCATTCAGGTCCTGGCATCTTGTCCATGGCAAATGCTGGGCCCAACACAAATTGTTCCCAGTTTTTCATCTGCACTGCCAAGACGAGTGGTTGGATGGCAAGCATGTGGTCTTTGGCAAGGTGAAAGAAGGCATGAATATTGTGGAGGTTATGGAGCACTTTGGATACAGGAATGGCAAGACCAGCAAGAAGACTACCATTGCTGACTGTGGACAATTCTAGCAAGTTTGACTTATGTTTTATCTTAACAACCAGACCATTCCTTCTGTAGCTCAGGAGAGGGCCCCTCCAACCCATTTGCTTGCAGTATCCTATAGTCTTTGTGCTCTCGCTGCAGTTCCCTTTGGGTTCCATGTTTTCCTTGTTCCCTTCCATGCCTAGCTGAATTGCAGAGTTAAGTTTATGATTATGAAATAAAAACTAAATAACAAGCAAATAAAAAGAAGTGAAATGTCCAGTTGAACCACAGAAGACAAAACTAGTAAACTGAATAGAGGTGAAAAATTGAGTGACTTCTCCTTCCCAACCAGGCTCCCCCTAAAACCACCCTTTGGGTTTCCCTTCCATTCTCTTTTAATCCAAACACCACCACCCCGCTCTTACTTCCATAAATAAACATTCCTCTACTCCATAGGCCTGGGTTTATTCTCTTCTCTAGTACTACTGTAAAAGTGAAACAGCAAAATAGCCAACAGCACTAACTATACTTTTGTTTATGGGAAATTTACTCATTTTTGCATGCAGACTAAGATAATTTTAGAGTACTGAAATAAAATGGTGAAATGCTGTCTCTACTAAAAATACAAAATAGTTGGGCGTGGTGGTATGCACCTGTAATCCCAGCTACTTGGGAGGCTGAGGCAGGAGAATCGCTTGAATCCAGGAGGTGGAGGTTGCAGTGAGCCAAGATCACGCCACTGTACTTCAGCCTGGGTGACAAAGCAAGACTCTATCTCAAAACAAAAACAAAAACAAAAACAAACAACAACAACAACAACCACCACAACAAAACACATCCCACCATACCCACTGACTTCACTTTAAATGTATGGTCACCAGCTTCAAGTCCTCATCTTACCTTATTTGACCTCTCACCAGCGTTTGACCCAGTTGATTACTTTAACCTCCTTGATGTTTTCACTTGGTTGAAAATATGCATACCAGTTTTCTCCCACTTTTAAAATTTGCCCTTCTCTGCTGTTTCCTCCATATAGCTGAAAATAGAAACATATTAAATACGTGAAAATCCACAATGATACTACAAAATAACTCATTGTACACATGGAAAGTTTTTAGGACACACAAAAATTATTGGGAAACTGGTAAATAAAACATTAAATATTTATGCTGATTTTCTTGCACAACTGTATTTCAGGATAAACAAATAGTTGATAAGAAAATGTCCCTCCTTTTATAAGACGTCTATCTAATACAGGAATAAGAAAATCGTAATATCACCATTTGTAATCCCTAATGAAGTAATGAATCTAGATAATGTCCTTCAATGGCTCCTGAAATCATCAGGTAAAAATCTGATGGGGAACTTTATAATAAATGGATTGGGTTGACACTTTTAAAACCACTAAGTGGAGACAACCAGACGATAAAATGATACAATGTGTGTTCTCCCGCTCAATCTAAAAAGTATTATTGCCAAAAAAGCTCAAACTTCAATTTGATGTAGCTTCAGTTGTAACTACCAGCCAAGAGAATTACATCCTGGGGATGTAATTAGTCAAACCCATAATGTCAAACTTACAACAGAATTTCTTTAACAAATACATTTTAAGGAAAAAGTGGAGGGGAGACTATTACAGATTTTTTAAAAAGAGAGAGAGAGAGACCAGGTGCATTGAATGTCCGTAATCCTAACACTTTGGGAGGCTGAGGCAGGGCAATTTTTTTGAGGCTAGGAGTTAGAGACCACCCTGGGCAACATAGCAAGTCCCTATTTCTATAAGAAATATATTTTTTAAAAATTAGCCAGGTGAGGTGGCATGCACCTGTAGTCTTAGCTACACAGGGGACTGATGAAGGAGGTTGCTGGAACCCAGGAGTTCAAGGCTGCAGTGAACTATGATGGCACCACTACATTCCAGTTTGAGTGACAGAGCAAGACCCTGCCTAAACATATATCTATATCTATCTGTATACACATACATATGTACACATCTATAGTTACAGATATGTGTGTGTATATATATAGAGAGAGACTGTTTTAGGCAGATTCGTTAGAAGGTAGAGGCTGAAGCTAGGATTAAGATGCCAGCATCTCATTTGGGTTGTGCACACTCAGGTCAGTTATTGGAAAGGAGGGAAGGAGGTGAGTGAAGGGAAGATGCTAAGCAGTGTGATGTGATGAGTGCCACTTTGCTGCCTCTGCCTTCACAAGCCAAGAAGTCAGCAGGTGGCTACTCGGAGCAGGGCTTCTCCAGCTGGATTGTAAGAAAAAGCCATACGTTGGACTGCCCACTGAAGAAAAAAAGAAGTCGCTTATTTGCTTGGTCTCTATTCTTCATTGGTCATATTTTACCCTCCGAGGAGCTAAGTCCTTCACTTCTGGATGGTCACATTCAGTCTCCGGACCTTTCTGGACATCAGCTCCCATACTTGGTGGGGAAATGTTCCACACAAGACCAAAAGTAGCATTAGACCAAGAGGGAGAAAGAAAAGTCATTGAAAAGATGTATAAGTTTGTGTCTCAAAACAGTTCACCCCCTTTCCCACGCAGATCCACTCATATACTACCTACATACCCAGCTCCCAAGAAACAATATGGGATTCCTTTTTATCCCTTGGGAACGAAAATGTTCTCACTCGTTTCCTGTGAGGAGAGGTTCAGGTCTAATTAATCACAGACTCTTCTTTAAGGCTGCTAATCATGATCTCCTAGAAGAGGAAGGCAAGACAGTAAAGCAAACCCATCATTCCCAACGAACCTCTATAGCTGGTCGCAAGGCAGTTAAATTGCTTCCTAATGGTTGCCACTAGGTGGAGCGATAGGACCAGGTGAGATTCCTTATCTTCTGCGTAAGGTGCTGGATGCATAGCCAGAGGAAAACATGGGTTATGAGATAATTTGTATAGTAAAGCCTCCAAAATATTTTCTTTTTTTTTTTTTGTTAAACTGTTATGTGTATGTGGGACAGGGGTAGGGGGTGCGGGAGGATGGGCTGACCATTTGTGATTCATCTTGAAACAGTTTTCTTAACCCTGGCATTTTAGTTTATCTAGTTCTCTTTGATTCTACAGGTCTCCAAATCCCCTAAAAATATGATAGTTTTAAATTTCCAGCTTTTCCCAATTCTTACAGTGAAACATTGGTTTACAGGATTTACTTCATTTTGCTTAGAAGAGTTCTCATATTAACTTCTCGGGCGCAGTGGCTCACACTTACAATACCAGCACCTTGGGAGGCTGAGGGGGACAGATTGCTTGAGGCCAGGAGTTCAAGACCAGCCTGTCGTCGTGGTGCACACCTGTAATCCCAGCTACTGGGGAGGCGAGCCAGAGGTTGCAGTGAGCCAGGATTGCACTAATGCCCACCAGCCTGGGCGACAGAGTAAGGTTCTGTCTCAAAAAAAAAAAAAAAAAAAAAAAAAAAAAGGAGTTCTCATATTAACTGGTAACGTAGTCATATTTTCTCATTAAAACTATTATCCTAGACTGTATCATTCTTCAACTTTCCCATTTCTCCTGTATTTCATAACCATTATTATTACTATTATTTTTGCAGAGTTGTCTATATTTGCCCTCTTCTTTTTCCCTTTCCCAGTAACATTCCTACCCATTGCAGTCCGGCTTATGCCCCCACAATTTCTCAAAAGCTTCTCTTCTTCAAATCACCAACATCTCTTCCTAATCACTACATCTAATGCATACTTTCAATCATTATCTCACTTGACTTCTCAACAGCACTGAAATTACTGCACACTCTCTCCTTCCTGAAAGCTCTTCTTTCCTCTGCATCTGTGACATCATATTCTTATGCTTTTCTTTCTATCCCAATTGCTATTCCTTGTCATTTGCTAGTCTCAGTTTCTGGGTCGAGTTCTTATATTCCAGCATTATTCAGGATAATATCTTCAGTTCTTTTTATCCCTCACTGTTTGCAGGATAACATATCATTTTTTTCAGTAATTTTTTTTTGTTTGTTTTTACCCCATACATTTACTTCCATTTAATCTAAGACAGTACTATATAAAATAACTTTGGAGGTAGTAGAATTGTGGACTTACTGAGAATTGCAATATCGTAGGAGTCTTTCAAGGAGTTTCTGTTAGACTGCACCAAAGTAGTGCTTCAATCCACTGTTTATATACAGGTGGTGGCAGCTCAATATGTGCTCAGAAGTTGCATCAAATGTGCACATGTAGAAAAAAATGTCTTTTTACATGTGCTCAGAAGTTACAAACAAACAAAATCTCATCAAAGTTTGGATGTGAGGGTACATCTGGTTATAGATTACAGAGGCATAATCATTAATCCCATTGCACATTATCTTTTGTACAGAAAAAGGCAAGGACCAGAATCACTGAACTTATCTTTTCTAAAAAATGCACTGATTCAGGCAAGAGATGTGGGAACCCGTGCTTTCCCCTTTTTACCATTTTCAAGGCATTCTTTTGGAGGGCTGTGCTCAGTCATCGAGTCAGGGGCTCTGTGAAATTCTGCTGGCAAGGGATTATGTGAAATTCTGCTGGCAAGAAGAATGAGCAAACACAGCTTCTTGTATTTACTATTTTGTCTCACGGAAGCATTCTCTACTTGCACTGTACAATACAGTAGTCCTTTACCACCAGGATAGTGAGCACTTGAAATGTGATGCTGTGACTAGGAATTAAATTTTAAATTTTGTTTAATGTTGATAAATTCACATTTAAATAGCCACATACGGCTAGTGGCTACTGTATTACACAGCCACACAGCCCACATTTAGACCTGGAAGTATTCATTGCTTTATGGAAAGACATTATACTAGAAAAATCAGAAAAACTGCTTTGTGACATTTCATGTGGAAAATCAGGACGTTGAGGAAGTCATAACCAGAAGGAAGATCTGGGCTAGATATTACATAAGAGGCTGGAGTTCCTGCAGGGAGAGGCAGGAGCATGACGAGGAAGAGAGGTCATCAAGGCTGGGGTGAGACATCTGACTCAGCGTCAGGAGCCATGTCAGTGCCTCATAAAATCCAATCTCCATTCAGGTGAGCGCCACACCCTGTCTGTGCAAAAACACTATGACAACTGTCCTTTCTCTTGTGATCCTATTGACAGCAGCCAGCAACTCACCCGTGACTATCCAGCAGCAGGCACACCATTCTGTGCCCTCATATTTTGATCCGTAATAATCTGACTTACCTTCATGTGGACAACATGAAAGAGCATATGAAATGAATGCGAAAGCTAAGCATCACTACTTAAAATATTTATGCAAATTAAACATTTTAAACACAGATTTAATTTGTTTTTATTTATTGTCTGTGTTGCTCTGTTTTTTTTTTTTTTCCCCTCTCTCTGGTATGTTGCTAATTTTCCTGTGTTATTTTCTTCACTTTGTTAAATCCTAGGATAAACTCAAATTGGAACATGCATGGGTCCTTTCTCACATGCCTTTTGCTACAGAGCTGTTCTGATACTGGTCACCTGACTGCCTCTTCTACTTCCTGTTATTTTCTGAAAATGGTATTTAAAAGCTTGACTTTTAGCAACTATTCAGACAGGTTTAAAGAACAGTCACTAGCAATCCCCAGGTGACATTTCAGTAATGGCTTCCTATAGTCTGAAAATCAGAGAGAAGGTCAGTTTCTTTAAGGAGACTTGCTTAAAGAAATTCACTTCTTTCTGGGATATACTTTCCAAGCCGCCTTTACCTTTATCTTTCAGTCACCCATGCTCAATTCACTCATTCACTTAGCAATGAATTGAGTCGCCCATGCTCAATTCACTCATTCACTCAGCAAATTTTTGTTGAACTCATGCTAAGTGCTTGGCTTAGTTCTAGATGCTGGGCATATAGAATTTAACAATGAACAATTTCCTTGTTTTCATGTAGGAGAGAGGAGGAAGAACAATAAAGAAATACATGTGTAATATACTGTTAGGAAAAGTACAAAGAAATATAACAACATGTTAATAGGCTGGAGAGTAAGGAGATGGAGAGGGTGGTTATTTAAGACGAAGGTGTCATGGGAGATCTCTCTGGGAAGGTGACAATAGAGCAGACACTGGAAAGATGGGAGAGTGTGAGCCATATGAATGTCTAGGCAGAAGGGTGTTCTAGACAGAGTGACAATCCAGCACAGAATGAGCTTGATCTGCTGTAGGAAAAGGAAGAAGGTCAATTTTGTCAAACTGGCAGAAGTGAGCCAGAAAATAAAAAGAGCTGAAGCTGGAGAAATAGGCAAAAGCCAGTTATTTTAGACCTTATAGACATGGTAAGGAATTTGGGTTTCATTCACAGTATTATGGGAAGCCGGTTATGGTGGCTCACTCTTGTAATCACAAAATTTTGGGAGGTCAAGGCAGGAGGATTGCTTGGACCTAGGAGTTGGAGGACAGCCTGGGCAATGTAGTGAGACTGCCATCTCTACCAAAAATAAAAAATTAGCCTGGCTTGATGTTGCACACTTGTAGTCCCAGCTACTCAGGTTGCTGAGGCAGGAGGACTGCTTGAGCCAGGAGGTCGAGGCTGCAGTAAACTGCGATTATGCCACTGTACTCTACCCTGTGTGACAGAGCAAGACCTTATCTCAAAAAACAAAACAAAAACAACAACAAAAATCCAAAGTGTTATGGTAGGACATTGAGGCAGGGGTGAGGCATTATCTGATTTATGTTTTAGGCACATCATTCTAGTTGCTATCTGGAGACTTGACCACTTAAGAGTATAAAAGGAATCAGGGAGTCCAGGTGCAAGGCTACTGAGGGATTTAGGTGAACAACGATGGTTTCTTTGGTATAGATAGTAGCAGTGAAAGTGTAAACAGTGGTGAAGTTTGAAATAAATTTTGAAGGCGGAATAAATGGAACTTTCTAATGGGTTCGATGTGTGGTGTAAAGAAGAGTAAAAATGTCTCCTATGTCTTGAGTTTGAAAAACTAGGTGAGTATTGGGGCCATTTATTGAAACAAGGAAGGGTGGAGAGGCTGACTAGGGTTCACCAAGCATAGAGGTCAAGTAAGCAGCTGGAGATTTAAGCCAATGTAAAGATGTAGGTTTGAGATTCTTCAATATCTAGATGTATGTAAAGCCATGGAGCTGAGTGAGACCACCAAGGAGAGGGGAGTAGATAGACAAGAGTGTTGAAGACTGAGGTAAAATGTTGGAAGAAGGTAAAGGAGTCGTCAATAGAGGCAGAATGGAGATGTCCAGTGAGATCTGAAGAATTTTCAAGGGAAAGGGGGTGATAACCCGCTTCAATGATGGTTATAGGTAAATTAAGATGGAGATCACTGGGATCGGGACAAGGCCAAGTTCAGGGGATTGAGAGCGGTGAATACTCAATCAGTGTGTGCTGAAACCACAAAGAGAGCCAAGGAAGTGAAGACAGTAAGAATAGACAACTCTATTTAGAGATTTTTCTCTAAAGCGTTGCTGAGAAACAAAGCAGTAGTTGGAGGTGAATCAAGGGAGTCTGAGGAGGGATCTTTACTTGTTTATGAGAGATATTACAGAAATATTGTATGGTTCCCTTTTGAGAGCTTAGTTTTAAGGGCAAAGATATAGAACTTGGAGGGCAAAGCTTGCTCTCTGTTCCCTGCAGAAACACTCCAAGAAACTTTTGCCTGACAACTTAGCTTGCATAGAAGGAATGGAGTCCAGCAGCTGGGGTCCGTATAGCCAACATTATTGGGCATTTTGGAATGATCTTCAGATCTGCATTTTGTCCTGAATTTTCACAGTTAAGTTCTAATTGGGCAGTCCAATCATGTAGCCTTTGGTAACCCCACATGTGCTATTTTCCCCTGGTAATTGGTGAAAGTGAATGTAAATAGTGGATTAGTGTGGTTTGAGGTCTATGGAGTGTAATAGGCCAGTGTGGTTGTGTTCTAGGTGAGAGTGCAAGATCAAAGGGCAAATCCATGTGCCCCCTTCTCAAGATGGGGATAGCAAAGGAGAACCTATTGATGCTATTCTGTCTTTTTTTTTTTTTTGCCTGCTGTTACCTTTTCTTCCTTGTTTTTGAGAAGTGCTCAGGCTCTCTTCGACACCATCCCACCAGGAAAGTAAGTTAACATGAACTGACCTATCCTGATGTAAACAAAAAGAGTCAAACTCTGTAAAACATTTGAGGAGATTTATTTTGATTCAAATATGAGTGACCAATGGCCTGTGACACAGCCCTCAGGAGATTCTGAGGACATGTGCCCAAGGCGGTCAAAGCATAGCCTAGTTGTATACATTTTTGGAAACATGAGACATCAA